CAAGAACGAAATACGAAACTTTTGCAAGATTTTTCCAAAACTATCTAAACACCTGGGTATGATGATAAACTAGATCCGCGTCCTAGGTAAGACAATAAGCTACATCCGCGTCCTGGGTAAGACCATAAACTACATCCAACAGCAAGGCCTCTGATCAGGAGGTTTTGAGGAGCGTGGAACCATCTCTTAATTGCTGGTGTTCCCAGGCCCACCCTGACCTGAGGTGGTAGCAACTGTTAGGGTCCCAACTATGGGCAAATAGTTAACCCCCAAATTGGGGTCAAAACACTATGAAAGTGTAAAAATAGGTCTTAATACCAGAAATACTTTGTAAAAGAAAAAAAATTATTACCATCAATACATTATTATCAGCAATACATTTTAGGCAAAAAAACTTTACCAGCAGTCCTTTTATTATCAGAAATAGATTTTTTTGAAGGAAAAATATTACTAGCAATACATGTTTGAAAAAAAATATTACCAGCAATAAAAATTTTGTCGGCATTAAATAAACCCATTGAGGTGGATATGCCGTAAACCAAACCAAACACCTGACGAATAACAGAGGCAAGCGTCACTTTTAGGCTGTAGAATGTTCTTCTGCTCACCGTGGCTGGATGTGGTCTTCTGAAGTTGAATTTGGTAATCCGTTTGGATTTCAAAGCGCCAAAGACATTTATTCTTGTTTTACTTTTAGGAAAAATTCTGGTTTGTATAGAAGTTGTGGTTATCATAGTCAGACCTCAAACGTTTGCATCGTTCGGAGTGATCAACATTTTCTATTCATTTTAATTAAATTTGCTTCATTCACTCATTAAGGATTTACTATTTCTTGTGTCCTATCTATTTTAGTTGCAACATAACGCTATTGAAATTCTTCTCTATTAACAGAGATTGAGTTTCTTATTTCAGATGTTCTTTGCACAAACATGGCCATGTTGTTTCACCTTGAATTCTTTTTTATTTGCCTTTTGAAATGTCAGTGTAGTTGTTTTTCTTCCTATTTTTGGTTGGGTCCCTAGGCGTTGGGTAATAGGGAATGTAGTTTGACCATTATTACTTTAATACAAATTCTTTAATAGAGCATGTAAGAGAATTTTATTACAGAATTTAATTCTATATATATACCAGAGAATTTAATCACGAAGACCAGCCTGATAGAGCAAGGTTTGGCTTACCTATTTCTCGTTTGGGATTAAAAACTTGCGCTATCAGACTGGTCTCCATAGCCAAACTGGTGACGGCAATCTTTGGCTAAAAAAAAGTTGGTTTCCCTGGTGAAAAAAAGGAAATGAAGCTTCGATTCGTGTCGGGGGCACAATTTTCTTTAGTAAGACTTCTCGGTCTAGTCCAGTTATTATTAATTTCACTGTTTAAGAAAATAAAAATATATGGACAGCAACTTAAAAACGTGTATCCACTAAAAATATTTATAGTAATAAGAATTAATTTTTGGATAAAAAAAAAACTATTTTTGTTTACGTGATGGCTACGAAAACGAGGCTAGCAGATATAGTTTCGTAGAAGTAGCAGCAAGAAATACGCTTTCTTTAGGTAATTCAGACCTTGCTCTGTCAGGCGGGTTTACGTGTCCAAACTGGTAGCGGCACGCTTTTGCTAAACAATAGAATTTAATACAAAACATTTATTATTATTATTATTATTATTATTATTATTATTATTATTATTATTAGAGAATTTTATTGCAATTTTTATCACGGAAATTAATACACATTTTTATTATAGGAATTAATACATTTTTTTTATTATAGTAATCATCAGAAAATGTTTATTATAGTTATTAATACAAAATGTTTATTATAGAAATTAACACAAAATATTTATTATAGAAATTACTACAATTTTTTTATTATTATTATTATTACAGAATTTAATGCAAGTTTTATTACGGGAATTAATCCAAACTTTTCATTATTGAAATTAACACAAACTTTTTATTATAGAAACTAACACAAAATTTTTATTATAGATATAATACAAAACTTTTGATATTATATTTATTATTAGAGAATTTAATGTAATTTTATTACGGAAATTAATACAAAAATATTTATTATAGTATTAACATTTTTTTATTATAGAAAATAATACAAAATGTTTATTATAGAAATTAGCACAATTTCTTTTATTATAGAATTTAATACGAAACTTTTGTTATTAGTTTTAGAGAATTTAATGTAATTTTCATTACGGAAATTATTACAAAATTTTTATCATAGAAATTAATACAATTATTTTGTGAGTGAATGTGAGAAAAATGGTATCAGATAATTTAATACTACATTTTAATTAGAAAATTTATTTAAAGATTTAATTTAAAAAATTCATTAAGTACGTATTTTTCTTTATTTTTTATTTACTTTAATTTTTATTGAATGTTTTGTTTTCTACTTTCTATGTTGGTTTTACCATTATTTTGAAAATTAATAACATCTTTTTCTATTTTTTTTTCTTCCTTTTTAGTCTTTCTTGAACTTTCCAGTTGCTTCTCTACTCGTCAGCGACAGGTAAGAAAATTGCATATCTTGTTTTAACATAAGTGAGTTTGCTAAAATAGCAAATTTGTATTTTCTTGTAAACTTCTCATGATACACATCGACAGAAATCATTGACCACGATATTCTTTTATCTGTATAAAAAAAACTTTTTATTATTTCTTTAATGATTTTGAAACACTATTCAATCATTACAAGAAAAATCAATCACAAGTTGAATTAGAAATAGTGTGCAAATGATTACAGATAGTTTAGCCAAACCGGTGTAGGAGCAGAAAATTAATTTACTTGACTTGCTGCCTCGTAGTTGTTGTCTCTTAACTACTGCTCGATAGACATTTTTCTTTTTAATCTCGACTCATTTTTCCCGACAACACTATCGTCTGCTCTCAATCAATTCCATAAAACGTAATCCATTAATGCAGTGATAACAGCTGTCAGAAAGCGAAGCGAAATACGTTTACTTTCTGTGGCTACATTTCAGGCGATTTAGTACAGAGAAAATAATAATAATAATAATAATAATAATAATAATAATAATAGAAAAAAAAAGAAAAAGATCAACTTTCCAACATTTATGACAAAGAAAATTTAAATAATGAAATTGAAATAGTTGTAAAAATGTAATTAAGAATTTTAATAAAATAGGATATCAACACCGTCCTAGAGCCAGAAGAATCGTGCATACAGTCTGAATCAAACTTGCAACACAAATTATGGCCTGCGAGATTAACTTATGAATCGTTGCTGCCCGCTAATTGGCAAACTTTACAAACTTTGTCGAATCTGATGTCATTTAGTAAAGATCAAACACACTTCAGTGATACTCAACTTTGCGATAACTTTAATACTTCTCTCTCTAAGGCAAGACCATATATATATATATATATATATATATATATATATATATATATATATAAAGAAAGAAAGAACAGTAAGATATATAATCCGGTGTTCTTAGAGATATTTTACAAAATAGTGCTCAATATAAATTTACAGAGCAGTAACTTTTAAAATTACTGGGTTTTAAAGACACAGCTAAAATCACGATTCCATGGTTACAGATAAATCTACTTCAACTTGAAGTAATTTTTTAAAAGTTACTCAAAATTCGCTTGAGGATGAAATGGAACTAATGTCTTTAATTTAACTGCAAATTAAATTGTGGCTTTTAGCTTCCATTTTTTGAAACATGGTTAGAACTGTGGAGCGGAAAAAAACATATTTTAAATCAATTAATTTATAATATCTATATATATATATATATATATATATATATATATATATATACTGTCTCGCTCTTTGACAAGAATCGAAACTGTATCCTATATGGAATCGTCATATAGCCTGACGTGCTTTTACCGATTGAGCCACAAATGAGCGTTTCAGTTAGCAAGGTCGATTTAATGTTTTTAAACTACAATTCTCCATGATTTTCTCTCATAGATTCGTATCTGCTCGATGCGTATCCAAATGTAAACAAATGACGTCACACATTATGTTTAAACAGAGCATTTACTTAAATATTTGTATCTATAAAAATAACGTATAAAAATCGTATAAAAAATGTCTTAAAATAATTGTCGGACTTTGTCCATTTCATTATATATATATATATATATATATATATAATGAATAAATAAAAATTCGAAAACAACAATAACATCATTTAATCACTTTCGTTTATTAGGCATTAAATTATATCACTTAGCATCCTCCATAGTTTAACTTCATTTTCATATTTAAACTGAAGAATATTTATGAGCGTTTTAAAATGTTTAAATTTTGAAACAATACCGAAATTTTTTTTTCTGTTAATAAATACTTGTTGCAAAATAAAATCCTTACATTTGCCTCGATAAAGTCCATCAAAGGACGAAACGCGTCGGTAAAGAAGTTTTTTCCTATTGTCGCTAATCATATATATATATATATATATATATATATATATATATATATATATATATATATATATGTAAAGAATTAATGGATTTATTTTTAATCCGACGTTTTAGTTTAGCGGATACCCGTGTTTAAAGTAGACGCCTCGTTTTTTGTACTTAACACAGTGTGCACACTCGATAAAACTTAATGTACTCTCCGGTACATTCTGTTTATTAAGTCTTCACTGACAATTCGTAAAAATCACTCAGAAATTGTAGCGAAGGCAAAAAGTACTGACAAAATGACATTCAGTGTTTCAATCATATTTTTAAGAATTTGTTAGGCCTTTTCTAGTTGAGATTCACACTTTTTTAATTCAAAAGAAACGTTAAGATTGTATAATTTGTTTTTTGTTTTGTTTTTTCCCGCTCAGCGTTTTTTCTTCTTATTGTTAGCATTGCACGAACGCGCACGTAAAAGTGTGCATCCATTCATTCAGCTGCTCGCTTATTTATTTATTCATTCTTTCAATTTAATTCAATAATGTATACATAGCCTTGCTGTCTGGCCACAGGTGGGGAAAAGGCAATTATGGATCATTTATGGAAAGAAAGAAAGAAAGAAAGAAAGAAAGAAAGAAAATGAAAAATCTGAAAAAAGAAAGAATGAGAAATGAAAATAGCTGAAAAAAGAAAGGAAGAAAGACAGAGAGAGAGAGAAATGAAAAAAGCTGAAAAAAAGAAAGAAAGAGAGAGAAATGAAAAAAGCTGAAAAAAGAAAGACAGAGAGAGAGAGATGAAAAAAGAAAGAAAGAGAGAGAGAAATGAAAAAAGCTGAAAAAAGAAAGAAAGAGAGAGAAATGAAAAAAGCTGAAAAAAGAAAGAAAGAGAGAGAAATGAAAAAAGCTGAAAAAAGAAAGAAAGAGAGAGAGATGAAAAAGAAAAGAAAGAGAGAGAGAAATGAAAAAGATGAAAAAGAAAGAAAGAGAGAGAAAATGAAAAAAGCTGAAAAAAAAAAGAGAGAGAGAAATGAAAAAAGCTGAAAAAAAAAAAAAGAAAGAGAGAGAGAAATGAAAAAAGCTGAAAAAAGAAAGAAAGAAAGAGAGAGAGAAATGAAAAAAGCTGAAAAAAAAAAAGAAAGAAAGAGAGAGAAATGAAAAGGAAAAAAGAAAGAAAGAAAGAAAGAGAGAGAGAAATGAAAAAAGCTGAAAAAGAAAGAAAGAAAGAAAGAGAGAGAGAAATGAAAAAAGCTGAAAAAGAAAGAAAGAAAGAAAGAGAGAGAGAAATGAAAAAAACTGAAAAAGAAAGAAAGAAAGAAAAAGAGAGAGAAATGAAAAAGCTGAAAAAAGAAAGAAAAGAGAGAGAGAAAAAAAAGCTGGAAAAAAAAGAAAGAAAGAGAGAGAGAAAAAAAAGCTGAAAAAAAGAAAGAAAGAAAGAGAGAGAGAAATGAAAAAGCTGAAAAAAAGAAAGAAAGAAAGAGAGAGAGAAATGAAAAAGCTGAAAAAGAAAGAAAGAGAGAGAGAGAAATGAAAAGCCAAAAAAAAAAAAAAAGAAAGAGAGAGAAAGAGATGAAAAAAGAAAGAAAGAGAGATAGAAATGAAAAAGCTGAAAAAAGAAAGAAAGAAAGAGAGAGAGAAATGAAAAAAGCTGAAAAAAGAAAGAAAGAAAGAGAGAGAGAAATGAAAAAAGCTGAAAAAGAAAGAAAGAAAGAGAGAGAGAAATGAAAAAAGCTGAAAAAAGAAAGAAAGAAAGAGAGAGAGAAATGAAAAAAGCTGAAAAAAGAAAGAAAGAGAGAGAGAAATGAAAAAAGCTGAAAAAAAGAAAGAGAGAGAAAGAGATGAAAAAAGAAAGAAAGAGAGAGAGAAATGAAAAAAGCTGAAAAAAGAAAGAAAGAAAGAGAGAGAGAAATGAAAAAGCTGAAAAATAAAGAAAGAGAGAGAGAAATGAAAAAAGCTGGAAAAAAAGAAAGAAAGAAAGAAAGGAAGAGAGAGAAATGAAAAAGCTCAAAAAAGAAAGAGAGAGAGAAATGAAAAAAGCTGAAAAAAGAAAAAAGAGAGAGAGAGAAATGAAAAAAGCTGAAAAAAGAAAGAAAGAGAGAGAGAGAAATGAAAAAAGCTGAAAAAAAGAAAAAAAGAAAGAGGTAGAGAAAAATGAAAAAAGCTGAAAAAAGAAAGAAAGAGAGAGAAAAATGAAAAAAGCTGAAAAAAGAAAGAATGGGAAATGAAAAAAGCTGAAAAAAGAAAGTTTGAAAAATGGAGAAAGGTGGTAAAAAATAAAGAGTGAAAAAGAAAGAATGAGGAAAGGTGGTGAAAAATAAAGAAAAACAGGAAAATAATATAAAGTAGACAAAAGGAAAGAGAAACAGTGAAAATAAAGTTGATCAAAAAAAAAGGAGAAAGATGGAGAGGAAAGATAATTATGAAGTAAGAAAGAAAGAAAGAAAGAAAGAAAGGTGGTGAAATAAACGGGAAATGGACAGGGTAAAGAAAGATAACGGCAGTAAAAAAGAAAGAAAGAAAGAAAGAAAGAAATGTAATAAAAAGACTTCTGTCTTTTTATAACCTTTCTTTCTTTCCTTCAAGAAGAGAAGAGAAACAGGGAAAATGGACAATTTAAATAAAGTACAGTATAAAGTGACAAAGAAGGTAGGAACAAAATGATTAGTTAGTTCATCAAGTATAAAAAAAATGGTCGTAATAATCGGACTCAAATAAGGTAAGTGCATCAGAGCGATACCCCCACGAAAGCGTTTTTGCTCGATAATCTTCGACTGATGGCATCAAAGCGAGAAAAAAAAAACAAAAGAGCCGCACTGATTGGCTGAAAGATCCGTGACGTCACAGACCAGTATGAGGATACGTGTTATGGTGCGTGATGGAAGGAAAACGGAAAAAACGGAAGTGGTGTTCAATAAGTTATTGAAGCGATATGGCGTCGACTAACGGAAACTGATTGGAATTTTACGATCCCAGCATTTTCAATTGTAACGGCAAGAAAAAACATTGGTAGAGGGTGGAGAATAGAGGTGGGGAGACAGATTAATATTTCATCAGCGTAAACATGCGGGGGCGTCAGTGTAAAATTTGTCTGTGCGCATGGGTGCGTGGGTGTGTGAAGAAACACATGGAAAAAGAAAGACGCACTGATTAAAGTTTAATTCATGAGGAAATATGAATTCATCGTCAGTTTGTAAAAATGTTAACATCACAGGATGGGTACTAGTTGTACGTGTATATACATACTTGCATAATACCCGTAAAAAATGACAAGATGCTTAATGTAATGATAAATTGTACATAGATAGATAGATAGATAGATAGATAGATATGAAGACAAAAAAGCATAAAGATAGGTAGATATGAAGGTAGAAAAGATAGATAGATAGATAGATAGATAGATAGATAGATAATGAATATAGATAGATATAATGATTATCGATATATATAATGTAGATGGATACTGAAGATATATAGATAGATAGATAGACAGATAGATAGATAGATAGATAATGAAAATAGATAATGAATATTGGTAGATAATGAAGATTGATATAGTGGATATAGAAAGCTAGATAGATATAATGAAGATAGATAGATTATTAGATAATGAAGATAGATGATGAATGGATATACTTGCACCTATATATATATATATATATACTTGCGTAATACCCGTAAAAATGACAGGAGTCTTAACGTAATGATAAATTGTACAAATATAAATAGGTTTAAATGTGGATGAGAAATAAAATAAAATTTGTAAAACTCCTATTTTGACATGTTTCGCTTATCAAACAGCATCATAGGAACAAGAGATTTTATTTCAACAAAAGTAAGAGAAAGAGCGTGACTCACGTTAATCATATGAATGTTAGTAAAGAAAAACATCTTCCCGACAGGAATCTTGTGGCCTAATCGGTAAGGTGTAGCGGGATACACGGTATCTCTTGCTGCCCCGAGGGACGTAGGTTCGATTCCTGCTGGAAAACGCAAATTTTTCATTCAGGACGGTAGACGAAAATAAATGAATATACTCTTTACTAAATAAACGGAGCGCCTACTAAAATAGGAGTATCCATTAAAAATCATGTTTAAAGTAATTAAAATCTGTTGGATTAATAAAAAAAATCCATTCTGAAAATTCTCTTTGCTTACGTTTGGATTGAAAAATATGCAGATATGAAAAAAAAAAACTTTCGAGAGATCTATGACAGGAGAAAATTGACTTGAAAGCACGAAATTTGGCCTCGCCTGACCGACGGCTCATCGTGTGCCAACGTTAAGAAAATCCAATAACGATTCACGTTATACCCGTGCGTAACCCGTTAGGGTCGTAAGGACATCATATTGTACAGCAGCCATAGTAGCAGTGTATCTAGGGCGAGATAACCGGATGAAGCCCATCCCTCTTTAAGCTGGTTTTGAATCCAGACTTTTCTTTCTCATAGGCTGAAAGATTAGATGGATTCATGCATTTACACAGAGTGTCTGTCCGAAAATATATATAACGAAATCGCCCGGAATTCTATCTCAGCTCACACATACATACATTGAGTACACGCGTATACAAAATCACGCGTACACAATCAGCTTTTCTTTCAAGATTAGCAATAACTTCTCCATCCTAAACGATATTTCCCCTTGTCCTGATGGACGCAGGTTCGATTCCTGCCGGAGAGCACAATTTTTCTTTTTTAATAAGATTTCTTGAACACTCGGATGACCATAATAAATATACTGCATAATAAGTAAACGGAACATCAATTCAAATACGAGTACCAACTAAAAACAATGTTTAAAGTGATAAACATCTGTTGGATTAATAAAAAATCCATTGTAAAAAATTTCTTTGTTTACGCTTCGATAGAAAACTGCGCAGATATGAAAAAAAAAAAAAAAAACTTTCGAGAGATCTATGTCAGGAGAAATTTCGATTGGAAACACAAAATTTGTCCTCCCCTGACCGACTGCTCTTCGTGTGCTAATGTTAAGAAAATCCAGTAACGATTCACGTTATCTATTAGCCATTTTCAAGAATTTCAACCATATATATATATATATATATATATATATATATATATATATATATATATATATATATATATATCCTAAGCCGATGACAGCAGACGCTTTCGAGCGAGCGAAACTCCTCGTTTATGGCTTTTCCATTTTGTCTTATTGTCTTTAATTATGTTTCAAATACCATTATACATCATACACACGCAAATTTGGACTTACCAGACCGACTGTTTTTCGTGGCTAGGAGTGTAAGTCGTGCTGGCATAAGCCTGAGAGACGCAGGTTCGATTCCTGCCGGAGAGCGCAATTTTCCTTTAATAAGATTTCTCGAACACTCTGTTGACCATAATAAATATACTATTTAATAAATCAACGGAACAACAAATCAAATACGAGTACCCACTAAAAATAATGTTTAAAGTGATAAACATCTCCAGGATTAATTAAAAAAAATCATTCTAAAAAATTCTCTTTGTTTACGCTCCGATAGAAAACTGTACAGAAAAAAAAAAAAAAACTTCGATAGAACTATGACAAGAGGAATTTCGATTGAAAGTATAAAATTTGTCCTCGCCTGACCGAT